TGGAAAGTAGAGAGCACATATTGCCATGAAGAAAGTCATGTAATCAGATAGGAGTTACAGTAGTTAGGGAAGACTTCCTGGTGGTTACTCTAACTGACTTGTGGTGGAGAAATCAGAATAGCTATACTCTGAAAATGTTGGATGAAAATAAGGGAATATTTGACAGAACAGCATTCATATAGCACAGGTTGAGAAGTAAAGAGGGAAATAAATGGAAAAAAAATGCCAGGGAAGATGGAATCTTAAAGAACAGGTGAAGATAAGACTGCGTTGACAGGAGGCAAGAATGGACAAAAACAGATTCATCTTTAACTGGGAGCAAGTTGTTGAAGGGAGTTCAAACTTGTGGATACTTTGTTTTCTGCTCTCTTCCCCCTCCCAAAGCAATGCCTGAGAGAAGGGCAAGGGGATACAAGGAATTGTGTGTGTGCGTATGTGTGTGTGAAGGGGTAGATGGAGGATGGTAACAAAATATTTACCTTCCACATATGTTTTAATTAATACCAAGATGAATAATTGGCACTCTGGTGTGGAGCTCTGGGTTTGAGTTTCAATAAACTAAGAAGGGGTTTCTCTTCTACATTCATCCTATTTAAATCTTTGACAGTGAAGAAATAATTCATAATTCAGAAAATTCATAAGAGTAATAGAATTAAAACATTTTATTGACCTACAACCAGTAATGATGTGACCTGTGGATACCAATTGTTAGTCTTAAAGTGCATATTTAAGGCATCGAACATTGACACTATTGTGTGCCAAGCACTGTGTGTAGACCCATTTCATGCCCTACAAAGGCTTTTAATCTATTTGGGAAGACAATAGCAAAATCTGTGATTAGAGGTAAGCCAATAATGTCATCAGAATGCTATGGGAATAAGGAATAAAATCAGAGAGGGAGAGATGAATAAACATATATGTGCTACTATATCTTCTTAAATTACTGCTATATCATATGCTAGAGGGCCTTCGATGGAAAACCCTAGGTAGAAGGAGACTCTTTCTATGTTCCCACCACTTCTGAGTGGACCCGAATAAACAGATGTCACTGGTATTTTTATTTTTTTCTCTGTCCCGAATTCTATAGAGATTTCCTTGCCTTCAGCCAGACCAGTGAGACGACGCAGGAGGTCTTTGACTTCTTTTTTTTCCCACACATCTCCACTCTGCCAGAATGAATTTATATTTTGTACTTTACTGAAGTACTGCTCTATCTCAGCCTTATGAACAAGACTGTTGAGACCCTTCCTCTTCCCCAGGTAGAAAAATGTGCTTGCTTGCTTGGATCTGCACATGCTTCTGTACTGTCTCTTGAAGGATCTATTTAAGGAAGAAACATATTTTTCCATTAGTTTGGCATCTTCATCTAGCTCTTCATTTTCTGGCCAGAACAGAAGGCAGGCTAAGAAATAAGGGTCTGGATATTGATGATTTGGTTCTATGTATTGCAACACTTCTCGGAGCTGTTTTTTAAGTATGTTAAGTGGTTGAATGGACTTGGAGTTGGGTTTTAGACAATTGAGAATAATGTTAGCCAAAATGAAATTTTGTTTATCCTTTACCATTCGTTTGTTTGGCTTTTGCTCTAAGAGGAAAGTGTATTTTTCCACTATAGTTTCCATGATAGTTGGGGCATCTTTGTGATTTGGATTAAGATATGCTAGGAGTCCAGAAAACCTATCTGCTCTCAAAGCTTCTAGACCTTTCCTATAATTCACCTCTTGGAGTAACTGACTCTCTTTGCCTTGTAATGGATCCAAATGGCAGAAAAATTCTATATATTTACTGAAACAACGACTTATTTTCTTGCTTAATAAGTTTTCCCCTGTTTCTTTTTGGGTATCCCTTTTTTTCAAAAGATTCATATAATCAAGAAAAAAGTCAAAGCACCTTTTCATATCTGATTGTAAATTTTGTAAATAAGGTGTGAACTTGCTAAGAGCCAAATAATATACATTTTTTGAATTTGTAGGAATATTACTTTTTCCTGATAAAAATTCTACCATAGTTTTTTCAGATGATTCATTTTCTTTGTGGAAACAGGGAGTAAGCTGAAGAATCTGAATAGTGTAAAGACCAACTTCTATTTCACCCAAGAAACCAGATGTGTTATACGTGTCATATTTTCTTTGGGACTTCTGTGGTGACCAAGTCTCTGTTTCATAGTCTTTCCTATCAGTTTGCTCTTGAGCTTTTTTGAAAGCTCTTGAGGCATTTTCAGCAGTTTCTAGGAAATGTGTTAGATCATTAACAGTGATATCCTTACAGTTTTTGTTTTCATCCAACCACAATTTGATTTCACTTTTGTAGACCTGGCCAAGAGTATCTGAGATATAGGAATTTTTAGGTGCTTTCTTTTGGGCCTGATTTGCCCAACGCAGAGCAATGTCAAAATTCTTCTCTTTAATGTAGAAATGTCTTGCTAAAGCCTGACAAATAAATGCATTTTGTGGGAATCGATTACTTCCTTCAGTCAGGACTCTTTCAACTTCATCATTCTGTAAAGCTTCGATTAATGGGGAAAACAAAGTGTCTGTTTCATCTCCATGCTCTTTGCGCTGTCTTGTAAGCAGAAGAGTTTGCACGTCATGTTGAAATTTGTCTCTTCCTATTCCAGAAACATAGAATACGTTCTCTTTTAATATCTTCAGTGCAATTTGACACCGACTCAAGTGATAGCTTTCTTCCAGTTCTTTTAGGCAGCAATTGGCAATCAGGGGGTGAATGATGCGCACACCTGTGTATCTCCCATAGTCTGCAACTTCTGTGTTTATTAGAAGTGTAGAATAGGTTCCCATCTTGTCTTCTAGACTTTCAGGTTTCCAGGGCGTGCGGGTGTATATGATTCCCAAAAATATTTCACAATGTGACACTGAAATTGTAAAATCTGTAACATAAGAATTTAGTAGAGCCAAGAAAGAAATGAGTTGTGCTTCCTTACTGTCAATATTCTGTCCTTTTAAGATATTCTTGACTACATTTTCTATATATGTTTCATCAAAATTTTCTTTCATAATCATGAAGGAATAAAAGTTTTCACAGTTCTTGTGTTGTTTTTCAATTTCCTCCAGTTTGGACTCAAAAGCTCTTTGTTCCTTGGAGGAAAGTTGGTATTTTAGTGCAATACTGTCTGCTAATTTTGCACTTTCATCAGGATTCTGGGATCTCATGCAGTTTAAGATAATTACCAATGTTTTATCATATCTCAAACCCTTCTCTGCTAAAATGGAATGGATGACATTCTGTAGAATGTAGACATTTTCTTGTTCTTCAAAATCATCCACTAGGAGAAGTACAGGAATGTAATCCTGAGGGCTGGCTGCCTTATAAGTAATCAAATTGGTAACTTGTTCTCCAATTTCTGCAAAATCAGTTGCTTTGTTTTTTAATACAGCACATCTGAAGTTTTTCTTTAGGTCCCAGAGAACATTCATAGCCAATGTAGTACCCCCACAGCCTGGGTGATGACGAAGATTGATAATTTTTACAAACATTGGTTTAGGAGAGTCTGCCCGACAATGTATCAGATCTTTAAGATTTTCATAACTGTCCCTTTTGACAAAGGCTGAAGAATAGTTTTCAGAAGAAAAATAGAAGTTCCACCAGGATACTTTGCCACCTCGATAAAAATGCTCTTCTTTCGTTTTTTTAAATTCTTGGAATTTAGATTCATTTTTCTCAATATCTGTGTCTTTACACTCATTTTCACAGAGAATTTCCAGTGCAGTAAACACATCCTCTTCCTTTTTCTCTAGGATAACTGAAGATGATCCACTGGAGGGTAAAAACCTTTTAGATGACTGAGTCACTGGTTTTAGTTTGAGGATAGTACTGTTTATCAATTCTAAATTTAAAGTGGAAATACTATGGTTTGTTAATTCATCTGCCATTGTCAGTCTTGCTTGTAGTAGATCTTTCCACCGTTGATAAAACTTTGAGTCTACACAGATACACAATATATTTTCCATTCCTTTGAGAGCTTGGTAGAAAGCACAGAAGGTTTCAATGAGTGGGTCTCCTGGGCTTTCCACTGGAGAGAGTAATAGAAACACTACCAAAAATTTTCCTCTTGTCATTAGGTTTTCATCTGTGAGAAATAAAATCAGTTTTCTGACTTCAGAAGCTCTTTCTCTCTGCCATAAATGTGGTTCTAGGGGCCTATACTTCTCATCTTTCAAGTCTGATCTGCCATTGCAGAAGATCCAGCTGGGCTGATCAAAAAGATTCAGACTAGAAATTTTCTCCCTTATGGTAGTTGTCTTTTCCTCATACTGATTTGGAAAGTGCAGATTTGCTACCCGGCTTCTTTTGTAAGCTTTGGCCACCCCCTTGCTTTCAGACTCAGGATCAAACTCCAATATAGCAAACCATTTAATTTCCTTTAGAAAATCTAAGTTCTTTGTTTGGTTTGGATGGCATTTATTTGTTACAAGAATGTACCAATTGTAGTAAGAATTATCCAGTGAGTCTCGGTTTCCTATGAGAAGTTTAACCAGCTTTTGTCCTTCACTCTCCTTCTTATTTGCCTTCACCTCATATCTTTCTTCAGCCTCTTTTCTAGATGCTGTTAGTGACTTTAAATTTTGTATATATTTTTTGAAATCCGCATCCTGTTGCTTGACGTTGGCCAGGATATCCTTAGAGCTAGCCCCTTCTCTCACAAATAGTGAATGATCTTGGTTTTGTTTCCATGTTTCATTTTTACAGTTTTGCATCTTAATGTAGAAATAGGTTTCTTTACACACAGAGTGTTTTGGAATAACATCTACTTCAATGACAAATCTACCAGATGAAGTATTGTTCTGTAGTAGGACTTCTACAAATCTTGGCTCCCGAATGCACTTCTTGGCTTTATTGATATCACTTTCTTCGAAATACTGTTTGATCATTTGATTGAAGTGGTCAATGAAGGCATCCTTACTGGGGACTTCCACACCGACAATTTCTCCATGCGGTTTGTCCTTGACTCCAAAATGGATGGTACCATTAGTGCGTGAGTTCATACAAGCTGATGTGAATCGGAAGACTTCATTGCTAAATTTCATCTTAATGTCCTTTTCTGTGGCTGTTTCTGTATTTGTGAGGGCTTTGAATTCATGTATAGGGTCTATGAGATTGAGTGGTCCTGTTTCAGGTTGGATAAGATAATGTTCTATGTAACGCTGGCTGTCATGGAACTGATCAAAAGGATATGGCATACAAGTCAACTGTTCAGTTTTCAGCTTGTTCTTTTTTTTGTTTTTAGTGGTCGCTACTTCATTTAATTCATTTTCTGTCATAAGAACCGAGTCTTGTTCTTTGATATCTCTAGTCTCACTGAGATCATGATCAATATTGGATGACACTGAATTTTGCTCGTCCTTTTTTGTCTGTTGTGGCTTTTTTTGGTGTTCATTTTTGGAGAGTTTCATATGATCTAATTGTCCAGAATCCTGATTGTTGTTTTCAGGGAAACTATTATTCAATTTGTTAAACATACGTTTTATCAAAAGTGCTGGACCCCGTGGTAGCCCCATGTCTCTAAGGTCTTTCTCAGTTAATTCCTGTAGGACTAATCCTGTCACTTCTTCTTTGACCAGAATCTGCCCATATTTCTCATCAATCTTAAGGGCTTCAGTTACCCATTGTTTCACATGCTCTTTGGTCCAGTCTTTGGTCATTTTGGGTAGATTTGCTTGTTCACTCATATCAAAGCTGCAACTTCCTTCCTTGGGAAAAGTAATACAATTAGTATTTTAGTATTATACTTTATCACTGAAATCATAGAGTCAATTATGTATATAATTTTATATAAACAGTGTGTAGAAAATATTGTTCAAGGTTGATTCTTAAAACTGTTTGGTACTTATTTTAACTGTTTTAAGTCCCAATTAGTGTCCATGTTTCCTATATGATTGTAATTGTGATTATGAAATATGCAGTAGCTGCTAACTAGGGTGACATACCCCTTTACCCTATATAATTTCCCCTTTTAGCCTTAACTTGATGGAAGTTGGATTTTTTTTTAACTCAAAAAAAGAATCTTAAGTAATACAGAAATTGGTTCCCATAGCTGAATATTGCAAGTAAACTTTAAAATATGAAACTGGATAAGTGGAGGTGGATTGCAGCTAGGAAGCTGGCCATCTTTTATACACAGTAACAAGGCAGCTGGTTAGCTCATTGCCTGTACTCTTTTGGAACTCAAGCAGTCAGGCCACCAAGGGTGGAGCTTTGGGCAATGTGATAGCAAAATGTTAGAATAATCGATTTGGTTGGCTAATTCTTGTGGCCCTCAGAGATACCAAAGTGTATGCTGTAGTTCAAACTGGCCTGGCCTGCCTGAAATTAAATAAGGAAAATACTTTGAGTTTTTACTTTTAAAACCATTTCAGCCTAAATTATTCTTGTGAACTAATTAAGGTTCTATAATTATGTACTCTGTTGAATCATAAGAGCTGTGTACCATGGAACATCCTGGAGCAGGGGTTCTCTACCTTGCCTGAACATTAGAATTACTGAGGGCTTCACATTCTGAAACTCTGATTTAATTGGCTGAGAGAGTGGGAGTGGCGTTCAGGGTTTAGTACTTTTTAACGCACTTCCCATTTGCAGGTGGCGCTTGCGGCTGAAGCATTTACCCCAAAATAACTCGTGGGTTACAGTCCTAACTTACGCCCAAAGTTCGCCACGAAATATCTCGCTTTTTTTGTTATTTTTGCATTGTGCTAGAATATCGATAGTTTTTGGAAACAAATGACATCATTCTATTTATAGCATTCTGTTTTTAGTAGTGGTGTTTCCATTTCCATAATATAGTAATTCTTGATCGCTGAAAATGTCAAATCCTAGAAAAAGTAGCATTCCTATATGTGATACTTAACTTTGTTCTCGAACAGTTAGCCGAAGAGTCATTTGATGAATTCGATTTGTGTATACATTTCTGTCACATTAGGATCAGAAACAAGTTCCATTTTAGAAATAACTCCAAGAACAGTTTTCATATTTTATTTTCACATTGAAAACCAGTCAGATTTGCTTCAGTCTCAAAGATTGTGTTTATGTAAAATTAAATTAATGCAGGCAGCCAGCTACACTTTTTTCTCTAAATAGGAAATGGATTAAAATTTGTCTGGAATATTCTATTTGAGGAGTTCTCGAAATGTAATCTCTAGATCAGTAATGTCAGCATCACTTGGAAGCTTGCTAGAAATGTAAATTTTTCTTTTCTTTCTTTCGTTTCTTTTCTTTCTCTTTCTTTCATTATTTATGCCTACAGCACCTGGTCTCCTAGGTGGTCTCACATCTAAGGCCTGATCCTGTTAGCTTCTGAGATCAGACATTGGGCTTGTTCAGGGTGGCATGGCTGTAGACCATGGACTGTGGCTCTACTGGGGCGCGAACCCAGGACCTTCTGCGTGTAAAGCAGACGTGCTAATTGCTACACCATGGAACCATGTCCTAGAAATGTAAATTTTCAGGGCCCACTCCAGACCTACTAAATCAGAATTAAAAAGATGAATCTATAATGTCATTTAAATAAGAGAAAACAAGAAAGTGAAAGTATTAAAAGGATAAATAGACTTAAAGTCTATTAAGGATCAAAAATCCTCCCAAATATTAAATTATAAAGAGAGAAATATGAACATTTAAAAAGATTTGTAATCTTTAGTGGTTATCAGAGAGATGGGGGGAAGGGAAGAGGTAGAAAAGAATAAAGGGGGTCAAATATATGGTGACAAAGGAGATGTGACTTTGGGTGGTGAACACACAAAGCAATGTACAGATGATGTATTATAGAATTGTAGACGTGCAATAAATTTAATTAAAAATTATTTTTAAAAAGATTTGTAATTTTTTAAATGTAAAATTTAAGGAACTATGTTTTTAAAAAATTTAGTGTATACCAAGTCACAAAATCTAGCCAAACTTAAAATTTGACCCATCTATGTTTGGGGTTGCTTGCAAAGCTTCCCTGAAGGTCTTCTTGAGGTCAGATGTGAAGGATGAACTAAACTGAGGCCTCAGCCTCTTGCCTTAATGACTGGCCAGAGAGGAAACCCATGCAAGTCATTTCTGGTGTGAAGACCATAAGCACACCAGAATGTTTTATCCTGCCTGTAGTCATGCAACCACTGGGCATAACATCTTCTACTTGCCTTGACGACACTTACTTGCTGTAGTATCTTGAATCCTCTTAGTCAGTCGGTCTTCAGTCTGCAAGATACACCTAGTCCTGAGCCAGTTAGCAGAAGGAACCAACCAATTCTTGATCTTGAAGACATCCAACCTCCAGAACTATGAGACAATATATTTTTGTTGTTTAAGCCACTCAATTTGTGGTACTTTGTTATAGCATCCCTAGGAAATTCACAGGATCACCAATGGCTACAAGCCTTCCATCAACTCAGATTCAAACATTTCATTCTCACCACCGTTAGCGCCTGAACTCTAATATATTTTCTCTTAACGCCAAGACTTTAACCCATTGATCCTATTACTTTCTCACTTTTCCTCACCCCTCTATCATGTCCTCACATCCTCTACCCATTCACTCTATTTACAATACAGCAGCCAACATGATCCTGTTTAAATGTAAGTGTAATCCTGAGACTCTGCCCAAGACCATCCAATGATTGCTCATCTATCTCACTCAGAGTAAAAGCCAAAGTCCTTACATAAGATTTGACACGATGTGCCCACTCCACTGTTTTTTTTAACTTCATCACCTCCAGTCACTCAACTTACTCTACCCCAGCCACCCAGGGTGTCTTGCTATTGCTCAAACATGCAAGGCACGCTGCTGCATTAGGTCTTTGTAGTAGCCATTTCTTTTGCCTGGAATGCTCTTTCTCTAGATACATAGCTCACGCCCTCACTTCCTTCAGCCCATTAGTTAAATTCAGTAAGGCCTTTCTTGGCTACCCTTTCTAAAATTTCAGTCCTTCCTCTAGCACTTTCCATCACCTTTCCCTGCTTCATTTTTTTTTTTTTAAAGAATTTACACACTATATATTTTACTTAATTATCTTTCCCATTCTCTGTCTGTGACTAAAATGTAATATCCAGGAGAGCAAGCTTTTTGCCTTTCATTCACTGGTGAATCACTAGGGCCTGACATAAAATAAATACTCAGTACATATTAGTTGAATGAAGAAATTACAGTTTTTAGAGTAGCGTAATGCTTGAACTGTATTTTTGGAAACCCATGTGTTAGCATTGCCTATGGAACAAAAGACTTGGGAAGTTTCTTTTCTTTTTTCCCCACTTTCCCCATTTCACCCACTCCCATCCCCTGCCTTTGATGACTACCAATTTGTTCTCTGTATCTATGAGTTATTATTATTTTTTTTAGATTCCAAATATAAGCGAGATCATACAGTATTTGTCCTTCTATGTCTTATTTCACTTAGCGTAATGCCCTCCAGGTCTATTCATGTTGTCACAAATGGCTGGATTTCTTTCTTTCTCATGGTTGAATAATATTCCATAATGTGTATATACCACATTTTCTTTATCCATTCATCCCTTATTGGACACTTGGGTTGTTTCCATGTGTTGGCTATTGTAAATAATTCTGCAGTGAACATGGGGTCGCATATATCTTTTTGAGATAGTGTTTTTGTTTTCTTCAGATAAATATCCAGAAGTGGAATCCTAGGGTGTATGGTAGTTTTATTTTTAATTTTTTGAGGAATCTCCCTGCTGTTTTCCATTGGTGGCTGAATCAGTTTAAATTCTCACCAACAGTGCACAAGGGTTTCCTTTTTTTCACATCCTCACCAACACTTGTTATTTCTTGTCTTTTTGATAATAGTTATTCTAACAGGTGTGAGGTGATATCTCATTGTGGTTTTGAAGTATCTTCATTTCATCATCATTTATACCAGAACCAACTCCAGCTTACAAGTCAGGTGGTCATAATGAGTGAGAAAGGAGTTTAATTTTTTAAAAGAAAAATTGGTAGACATATGTTCTTCATCCAACAGGCATATTGCTGTGACCTGAGTTTCCTACACCCCTCATCAGGTTTTGCTGTCTCACTGATCGTCTCTGTAAGAGCATGTTTCTCATACAGGGTTTTTTTTTATCCTAGACCTCAGCAAGCCAGACCCCTCGAGGCCTCAGTATTCCTTCCCCTCTGTTGTGTTAACTGCTCTCACTGCTCTGGACAAATAGACTCTCCTCTGGAGATGATCTTATCGCAGACTCACTCTGTCCAGGTCTGAGGCAATATCTTCTCTTAGCTAGAGTCCTTTCTCAGTTAATTTAAGCTACCCACTGTCTCCTCTGTGCACTCCACAGATTATCAGGAAAAACTCTAGATTTTATATTCTGTTTTAGCCAGCGATTACAGCAATTCAACCATGCTCCAGCACTCTGCAGCAGGGGTCCACAACCCCTAGGCAATAGATCAGTAGCGGTCCATGGCCTGTTAGGAACTGGGCCTCACAGCAGTAGGTGAGCAATGGGTAAGCCAGTGAAGCGTCATCTGTTTTTGCAGCCACTCCCTGGAGCTAGCATCACCGCCTCAGCTCCACGTCAAATCATCAGGCATTAAATTCTTATAGGAGCACTGGTCCCTGGTGCCAAAAATGTTGGGGACCGCTGTTCTACAGGAAGCAGCACATGAAGGATTTCCTGTTTATTGGCTACTACATGCCCAGAGACACTATGTGTATGTATGTGTGATGTGGGGATGGTAGAAGGGCTTGTCTCTGTGTCTCCTTACAGGGAGATAGCTTCCCCTCATTATCTCCTTTATTGTTTGAATTCTTCCAGGAACCCCCAGGGAAATGGAAGCACCTGTCTCAAATAGGGTGAATGACATCTGCCCATCCCAAACTGGTCTTTTTATCTCTACCTTATCTCACAGTGTCCCTCATTGTTCAAAGATGAAGATTCTTTATAACATCAAAAAATTTCTCAGCTGCCCACTCCTGTGATGGGAACTGAGAAGATATATAATTCTTCAAAGCTATTATATATTTGGAAATGCTTTCATATGAATTTTGCACTCTGTCAATTATATGAGCATCATATATGATCTATGATTTGTATTTGGCTGGAGCCATGTATTTAATCCAAGGTGACAAAGATTTAGGCTAAAGGGTTTTAATAACGCTTTAACATAATTCCTTGGCACAATCAGTGTCTTCAACCTAGCTTTGGTTGATGATATGTTAATATTTATAGAGAACTTTAGTATACTTTACTGTCCTGAGGCTTACAAAGTCCTTTTGTGAACATTATCTGATCAGATTTACACTCTGAAATATTGGCATATTTTTTCAACACAGGGGACTTATGCTTGTCAAGAGGCTATGTTACATAAAAATGAACAATAATGATAGTACAACATATCAGAGCTTTTGGGGCATGGCAAAAGTAGTCATAAGAGGAAAGTTCATATCATTACAGGCCTATCTCCAAAAAGAAGAAAGAGCCCAAATAAACAAGCTAACGCTTCTTCATCTTAAAAAACTAGAAAAGGAAGAACAAAGACTTATGCTTCAAGAGGCTATGTTACATAAAAATGAACAATAATGATAGTACAACATATCAGAGCTTTTGGGGCATGGCAAAAGTAGTCATAAGAGGAAAGTTCATATCATTACAGGCCTATCTCCAAAAAGAAGAAAGAGCCCCC